TAAAATGACTGCTTCCACAAATACATTCTCATAGAGATTGTCCGTTTGACCGCTTGCATATTACAAAATTGGTGGCAGTGGTTCTGTAGGATGTCGGGCGAAAAGGAAGTATCGCCATCGACCCAGTCGCCTGCCAACATCGGCTTGACAGAGCTATGTCAAACTCTCCTGTCGGTGTTAGAGACACGACAATCCACCACGGACACACTTCCTCTCTTTAAACCGGGAGACAATTTTGAATTTTGGCTTTCCCAAGCCAAGGGCCATCTGCCCTCCTTGGCTGCAAAAGATTGTACACGATATATTTGTCGCTACTAATCCACGGATTCTCTAACGAAAGCTTTTTCGTTTGGTGTGAAGTTCGACACGGACGTCCACTCCCCTTTAAAGTCCCTTCGCCGCATTTTAGCGAACCCTAAACCCCCTGTTGACGCCCATCGGCATATGTCTGCCCCCTTGCAGTTTCCTGGAAAGAGTGCGCGGGACTATTTTAACTGCCTTCGCCCTCTAATCTTTGCCACATTCCCGGACTGCCCATTGTTCGTGATGGACGCTGTTCTTGCCGTGCATTTCCGTGCTGGTATTCGGGGCGATTACCCACGGTGCAAACTGATAAAGAAGCCACACATGACCTCGGATCAATTTTTATCTTTGGTCCAGAACTACGAGGACCGCTATGGCCAAACGCCTCGAAGCCTCACTCGTCCAGCGAAAAGAGCCTCGCTCGGTGGCGATCCACACCTATCGCAATTTCGCCCACCCGCCCCGGGGACGCCTGGCTCCGGTAGCCGAAATTTCAAGTGAGTCTCTCCCCGTGCCTACTGTTACATCTAATTTTGAGTTTGCTGCTCCTATTCTTGATGTATTGGTTGCCGACACGCGGGTGACATTTCTTGTTGACACCAGAGCGGCCTGCTCTTTACTAATCCTCCGCGCATGGCTTCGACAAGCCGAAGTTTTCCATCGATATCGTGGTATCGTAGCGGCCAGTGGCATGCCTCTTTACTTTTCGTCTTTAACCGACGTACCAGTCTGCCTTGGTTCCTCCAAATTTCACCATCCTTTTCACGTTTTTTTTGGATATTTAGTGGCAGGGCATTCTAGGGACCAATTTCGTCTACGGTTATGGGTTTGCATAAACTTTGCTACCTATCAGCTTACGTCTCAGACGACCACGGTTCTCTATTATTTATCGGTCGGACCTCATATGCCTTTTCATGGGCTGGTGAGCTCTTAGCTAGAACAAATATCCTACAGCACACCCTCGATACGGGTTCGACCAGGCCAATTCGTCAATCCCCTGAAAAGCACGTCATTCATCCGTCTTCTTCACCTTGGGCCTCGTCGATCGTTCTGGTTAAAAAAGAAGGATGGCTTACTGCGAATTTGTGTCGACTACCGCAAGCTGAACGCCGTTATGGTGAAAGATTCCTTCCCGCTCACTAATATGATAGTGCCTTGGACGGGGCTGCCTGTTTTTCGGCACTGGACTTACAGTCTGGTTACTGGCAGATGGAAACGGCACCCGAAGATCAGCTTATGGGCAAAGAACCTGTTTTTAACTGGTTTGATGAATGCGCTAGCTCTTTTGAGGAACTCAAACGGCGTCTTACCTCACCCCCTCTTGGCGTTTTCTAACATTTTGGACTCAGCTTCTCCTTTTGTCTTGGACACAGAT